TTGTATGCTGCATTACATGTTTTGTAGATCAATAAAACTAAAGACCTGAACCGCATCTTGGACTGAACTTTTGAGCGTGTCAACTCAGTTGTTTTGACTGTCTTCAATAGTCTCATCTAGAAGACATAGACATAGAAGAAGTCATAACCCCGTTTTTGTTAGAAACTGCATGTCTTTCATGTATAGGTGAAGTTTTTTATTTTTACCTTGTCCATAGTTACTTTAACAAACCTTAAAGGTATAGTGGAGGATTTTTGTGAATTTTTGACATGCCCTAACCACTTAAAAAGAAAGAAAAAGCACATGCAAAACCATGTACCCTCTCCAGAGAGGGAACACCTATTAAATGTGTGCTAAACCATGGAGGATGCTATTGGCATTGCTCATACAGGCTTATCTTCAAAAATAATTTGCAATTTTTCCATTATGTCAAACTGTAAATGAAAATGGGAACAAGCACGTAGGACGGCTTTATGTAAACATATCATCAGAATAATTTACAATTAGGAGGACCACTTATTTTGATGATTAACTCGGAAAAACAACATTAGTTGATGAAAAAAAGATGCAACTGAAAGGCTGTCTGCTGCTAAATAGAATTTAGATGGAAGCCTAAACAATCATGCAACAATAAAATTTGGAGCAAAGCCCAAAAGACTTTATCTCTGGCTTAAAAGACCTTAAACTGGGAAGAGGCTTGAGCCAAAAGGTATTATAAAATATCTGAACACACACACACACAAACCACGGGCAAAGAGGGAGGAACGACAGAAAGGTGTATCTTAATGTTTTTTTTTTTTTTGTGTGTGTGTGTACCTCAAAATGGTAAATTTCTCCATCAACTTTTTATAATGAAAGCTGTGCTCTCTCTGCAAGAGGCTATGGTGTCTGGACAAGACAATGCAATTGTCAAATAAATAGTCAAATATCTTTCTCTATATGTTTGTAAAGTATTATAGGAGATAAATTAGAGATAAGCTCCATATAAACAAAATAAAAACTGTCCTTTCCTACAGTAAAATACGCATGGTTTAGGACATTTAAAAGAATAATTTTTGCAGTCTCAAAATGATTTTAAAAAGTCCCAGATGAACACAAAAAACTACTTTGATACTTTGGTTATTTATTTTATGTAATAGATGTTATGATTATTATAGATTATCATGAACAAATACTGACCTTGCCTGCACGATAAAACAGATGGGGTGACTCTGTCCTTCTTCCCTTGCAGATGGTGTCCAGGTCAAAGAGAAGTTTCCTGATCCTAAAGAACTTTTTTGCACATTGCTTGGCCCACTGTACAGGACTGAACTGTAATTAACACCAAATATACATGATTGTTATGTGACGTTTTCAACTTTTAAATACCGATGAACATATTAACATTTTGTTAATGTTTTTTTTGGATATATTTTATTATATTTATTGCTGTTTAAAAACTAACTTTTTATGTTACCAAATTTAAAATGAATTAAAAAATAAATAAATAAAAACACAGAAAATCTGTGGAAAAAATTTTTTGAAATTTTTTTGAAGAACTGTCGATCTCGGCAAATGGCCACTCCTTATGTGCCTGGATCTGCTGGCGGTGTTTCCCTGTTAGATGGGAGTTTTTCCTCTCCGCTGTCGCTGCATGCATGCTCATTGTGAGGGACTGCTAAAGAGTCACTGTTGCAATGCAAGCAAATATCTACTCTTGTCATTTGCAGTAGGACTGTGTCCTGCAAAGTTAATTAGCAGAATTTTACCCAGTATGACTATATAGTTGGATAAACTGTCTATGAAATGTGCCTTGAGATTTTTTTTTTTTTTTTTTTTGTGAAATGGAACCATAAAAATAAGCTAAACTGAATAAAAAGTATTATGCATCTTTCATTTTTCTTCTAGTGAATCTATTTGCCATGCATTTTGTATTTCCTTACATAGATTGAGTTACCACTGCTCTAATGCTGATCTCCAGAGTCTGGCTGACTGGAGTGTAGAACCGAGTTCCGTATTTTGGAGTTGGAGACAGAAATCTGGGCAGATAATCACCTTCTGAGCAGGATGGTGCTGCAGGATCCACTGAAACACATTTGTAAAACTTTAGCCATTCTCAGCTGGAAATATAAATGTAGACCTGTTTGTCTATAAATCACATTTATGACTTTGCCACAGATTACCATGCAATTACTCAATATATACATAAAAATAAATATTAAAAGCTTAACCAAAACTAAACACCTGAAATAAATCTTATGTTATAATAATTTTTCATGGTTGTAAATATGCTGACAATATGTTCACATTTTACCTAGAAAAGCAAACTGGATGGGAATCCTGCTGATTGCATCACTGGTAGTTTTCACAACATGTGACCCATCGGTGTGAGTCAGGGTGATTTGCTGTCTGGGAAAGTCCTCCATCACTATTTGGACTGCATAGAAACCTTCATTACTGCTTGAAGTTGCACTGAATGAGAGGATACAGTTCTGTAACAACACAGAAAATAGAACGACAATCTTAGAACAAGCTGAAAATGCTGTACAATATTAAATTGCACTATGGCTTAAAATAAATCCCAATAATCCAAATATGACATATTTTTTCTGAAAGGATCTTCTATTAAAAGATTAGCTTGCACCAAACCTACAACAATTGGAGGCAGGTATCATTTGTTTAGATTTGTGCACCCATGGTTTTTACAATCTCCAATGGACAGGCCGCCTAAACAGGGTACAACATGATTTTGCCCAAGGACTGCTGGAGATAGGCACCAGCCCCCCATGACCCCGACAGACAAGAGGAAGAATTAAGTATCTTTGCATTCTGTTGAATCTAAAAATCCTAATACAGAATCATGAGAGCAAATACAAACAAAAAAGCACAGAAATAAGCTGTTCTCTAAGCGACTGCACAATTTGAACAAAATCCAAAAGTTTCCAGAGCTATATAACAATCTGCTGGTCTGGAAGTTTAAAACAGTGCAACTTCACATAAAAACACAGACATTGTCTGGTTTGACAAGACAAAGGTAACAGTGGTTGCTCATGAAATTGTTGACCACAGGGGCCATTTTCACTTGTCAGTATAACTTCAGGAGTCACTGCATATCCTGAGCTTTCTGTTTAAGGGAAGCAGATTGCTGTTATACAGAATCAAGTTTGCAGTACCTTTTTGAACCAACTCTGGTTGGTAGCAGGGTT